CCTATGGTATTTCTTAATATGGAATAGCCACATTTCAGGTCCTCACTAGCCATCTGTGGCCAGTGGCTATTGAACTAGACAATGTAGCTATGTGCCTAAGAAACTGTGTAGGACTTATAAACTTGAAAATACCAAAACTTCTAAAGAACATAAGAAGAGGTTTCAGTAAAAAGACAAACATATGACATACTCCTAGAAGTCTCAATACTGTAAAGATATCATTTTTCTCCCCCAAATTATTATATAAATTCAACACAAGCCCAATCAAAATTCCAATGACGTTTTTTGGGAAGACTGGACAAAATTCCAGAGACTGGAAGCATAAATGTCAAAGAATGTCAAGAAAATTTGAAAATGACAAGTAAAAAAGATCTGGAGTTTGTCCTATCAGATATCTATACCTATCATCAAATATTTATATATTATACCAATTTACCAAAATTATAACAATACAATACTGGCAGATCAATAAAGAGACTAAAAACAACTATAGGTAAGAATTTAGTATATGATAAAGGGGAAATTTTTTAAAAGTGGGAAGGAATATATTAGTAAATATATAGTTTTGGGGCCACTTATAAAAAATATACAATGACCTCTATTTTATATTTTATACAAAATCAATACTGCATGAGTTAAGTATTTAAATAAAAACCTAGAAAGCAATAAAACGATAGAAAATCTGTAGTTGAATATTTACCTATTTATGTTTTTTTGGACTAGAGAATCTTTAAGATAGAAATCATAAAGAGAACAATACATTTGGTGATGAAATATTCTGTTTATCAAAAACATAAGTAAAAAGCTAATTTCAAACGGATAAAATAATTCCAATATATATTAACAATAAAAATATTAATACATAAGAACAGCTTTTATAGATGAATAAGAGAAAAGATGAACAATCCAAAAGAAAAAAACAATGGGTGAAGGACATAAATAGGTCAATTTACGAAAGAGAAATGCAGAGTTTCACCTATCAAATTGGCAAAGATAACAAGATGATGATCATATTTCACAAATGTGCAAAGAAATGGACCCTCTTCATCATGACATGGACAATCTTTCTTGAAGGAAACTTGGCAGTATATATGAAAAGCCTTTAAAACATGCATATCTTTCCGTTTATATGAGGTACCTAAACTAGACAAATTCATTGAGACAGAAAGTAGAATAGACATTACCAGGGGCTGTGGAGAGGAGGAGTAGAGAGTTACTGTTTAATGGGTACAGATTTTTTGTTTGGGATGTTGGAAACATTCTGGAAATGGATATGGTGATGGTTGTATAACATTGTGAGTGTACTTAATGCCACTGAATTATACACTTAAAAATGTTCAAAATGCATATTTTACCACAATTTAAAAAAATTCCATTGCATGACAATAAAAATTTATTAAACCATTCTCCTATTGTTGAACATTCAGGTTTTCCCCAAAATTTAACAATTAAGAATAACATTATGGTTAAAATAATGTGTATCCTTTTACACAGCATTTTTATTTGTTAGTATTTATCCTATAGTAATAATGAGTAATATGTGTAAAGATATACATTTTACTTCCTGGCACTGTTTGTAATAACAAAGAGTGGGAAACCTAAGTAACTAACATTATAGGATTGGTCAAATTATTGTACACAATGGAAAATTAGACAGCCATTAAAAAGTATACTACAGACATATACCTATTGATATTAAGGGAAAAATGATTAAAAATAGTGTGTGTGGTAAACTTCAAAGGAAGTTAATGTTCATATGTGCATAGGAAAGTATCTGGAAGAATATATAAGTTTTGTCAGTGGTTATCTCTGAGTGAATGGGATTTTGTTACTTTTTTTATGCTCTTTTTCTTGCTTGTCAGTATTTTTCTGCAATAAGCATGAACTCTAATTGTAAAAAACAAAGCAAACAAACAAACAAAAAAACTTAACAGAAGAAACTTAATTTTGAACATTTAAATATCTTCATAGTCATTTCTCCTTCCTCCGAAGTAATACCATGCCTTCACTTACTATACAAAGTGCCCCTTCCCTCCCCACAAAAGAAAAACCAACTGATAGAGTGTCTGTAAGTTATTTATTATATGGCACCAGCAGATAATTCTTTCCCTGAACTAAATAACTATAAATTAGATTATATTAAGAAATCCCTTTGAGCTTTTGATTTGCTTCTTGGCTGTCCATTGTAGGTATATGTGCAAAGCATCTAATGAAAACACTTTCTACTTTTGGTAATGAGTTGCCTTTTATAAATGAGGGAGATGCTGTCCCTGGAGAAGGCTGCACATGAAGTATGTAAGACATTCAGGTATCTGAATGGAACCTCATAAAATGAGAGCAAGAAAACCAGAATGCCCTTTAGAGTATCCTCAAAGTTTGTGCAGATGTAGAAAGAATAATACTGTGAGTTTAGAGGTATAAGGCAAACAGATCCAATCCTAAAGGCATTTTTGTTTGGGTGTCCCACACAGTAGCTGTAAATCTAGAACAGGAAACTTGAAATCATTAAGGTCACATATTTATAACATCATATTCAATTAGGTTAGAAAAGTGCAATTTCTGTCATCATGTCCTAAAAAGATGTGTTTTTCTCTCAGATCTCTTATTAAAAAAAGCTCTCTATATTGTTACAAATAGGGCTGTTTTCAGTCAGTTACAAGGAGCAATTCAATTACTAGATGGTTTAGTGCAGTAACTGACTCCAGACTAATTTAATTTCTTTAGGTCTCCAAAGATCAATTGATCTGATTTGTCCCATCCCCAAAGGCTGCTTAGAAAAAATTCAGACTGAAATACCTGGAAATGAAATCCAAAACCTTGGCCAATTTCACACTACTTAGGTCATCTTGCAAACTTGCAGCTAGTCACATAAGATGCTCTCTTGGCCCTCAGACCATTGAAAGCTTCTTAGCTTCATGTACATGTGAGTGTTCCCCACATCAGGATGTTTATTAAATAAGTGGAAAATGTGGCTGCGTGTGTTATCAAATCCGTCTCTCTAAAGGGTAGTGAGTCTGGGTACTTGTCTCTCATGAGCACAAGTGCAACAAAAGGGGCTATTTTTACTCTAGGAGTAGTTTATTAAGACTATTAAAAGTAGCTTAGATGGGGTAAAACTATGCTCATCTAATAAAATATAATTATTTTACATTTTGAGATTTAGAAGTGCTTTCATAAATGTCATCTTACATGGTTCTCATAATAAACCTTTGAAGTAAGCAGGGTTATTTTCTCCATTTTTCTAGATGAGGAAACAGACTCAGGGGTTAGGTGACTTCTCTAGGATCACTCAGGCAGGAAAAGGCAGAGCTGGGGCTCTAACCCATGACTTTGTCTCTATACCATGCCCATCCACTGATTTGAGACAGAAGATATGATGCCCACTGTAAAAACACATCACTTACTTCCCGACTGAGCCACTGTTTTCATTCTTGCCTGACCCCTGACTAGAACGGAGAAAAAGTTCACATATTAAAATCCCACTTGCATAAACCCAGTCTGAATCAGTACCTCTGGCACTCCAGAAATAGGAGATAAAAAAGGCCACACCTAAATGCAAGTAGCCTTTGTAAATGGACTCCTTTGTCACCCATGCTGCTGATACCACTTTCTCACTGACTTGGGTCTTATGACCTGTTTGCATGCCTATGTCCCACCTAATTGGAGAGTTATCTCCTTGCCATCTCTCTGCATTTTGCAATGGATTTTTCAACAAGCTCAAGTTTCCTTCCCTGATCTCTCAATACCCCACAGTCACTTGTCAAGCACTCCAACTAATTAATCTTTTCTACTCAGATGCCACAGTTGTACCCAACTTTCAGTCTCTCCTGCTGGATACTTTGTCTCCCCACCGAGCTTCTATATGTGTTCCCACAAGTCAAAACCACATGCCTATGCTCTGCCATTTGGGAAGAATGAGGGAAGGATAAGACAGATGTTGCTAAAACACGTAATCATCCTTTAATTTGAGTTTCCAGGACAGGTTAGAGAGAAGTGCTGAGGTCAGATGTGACCATGTGGTAGGTAACAAAGAGTGTGGCAGAAACACATAGCAGTCGGTAGGGAAATCACACAAAGATTTGGAGATAAAGCTAGGGTACCCCACCTGTCAAAAGATTCCAGGCCACATAAAAGATCAGATACAGAAGATGAGTAAGATCTGACGATCTAATGTGTGAAATGGTGACTATAGTTGATAACATTGTATTATATAATTCAAATTTGTAAAGAGAGTGGAACTTAAATGTGCTCACCAAAAACAAAACAGAATAAGTACAGAAAGTTACATAGTATGTTTAAGGGATACAAATAATCTTCTCCTTGAAAAAAACATTTTTTGACATTAATTTTGGGCAAACTATGCACCTCAATATAGTCATTACTCATCACGTAGACAGTCTCACACGGTGTGAACCATTTTAATTAAATAAAAAGTGGGGTAAATTACGGCACATGATTGTCACTTGCCTTCTTGAAGGTCCTGAGATCTGATAGCTTTCCTATTAAGTATAAGCAGTCTATGCTGTAGGTAAAATATACCCCTTGATTTAAATTGCCTCTCCTTGTTTCAAAATTCCAAACTACGTTTATAGTCTTTATGTTAACAAATATATCCACTTCAGAAGGCAAAGGCTATTAAGAATCTATTTCTCTGTGGATTGCCACTCAAGACATGAAGCTTAATATCATGTAGAGGACTGTGTCTTTGATAACAAAGAAGCCCCGTTGAAAAAATGTCCTGTCCAAAGAAACCACTTCACTCAGAAATTGAGTGTAGAATAGATCCAGCTGCTGCAGCTGTCAAAGCTTAAGCAGTTGCATATCTACAGGGTTTATAACTGGAAGGGAAGGTGGGGCAGAGAACTGGAGACTATACAGAGTATTGGAGACTCTATAAAGTGAGGTTATGGCTCTTTGGTGTTGAAAGGAGTGTGCTCTTACAAACTAGTGCTTCTCTTTATCTTATCTAGGCAAAAAAGTAAACAGAAAATTCTCATTACCTCTCAATGTCAGTGAGCCTGGAGGAGTCCCGGAATCCTTTGGCAAAAGGATTACTATCTATTTTCAGCTTGGTTATCTGGAAAGGGAAGAAAGTATAACAAAACCGTATCATTTCCATGGTCAAGGAAATAAAATCAGAAATAAAAAGTTTGTTCATTTTCCATCATGGCACCCCAAGAATATCTTAATGTCTCTCAGTATTGTGATAGAGGTTAAAATTGCTAAGAAGTTCACAAGAGGCCTAAATTGGGTGGAATGGTCAGAGAAGGCCTCAGAGAGAAGGAAGTAGTTGAGGACAGACTGGTCCTAAAACAGGCTGGAAGTCAATGGATAGAGACAGTTTGAAATGGGGGCCTTTTACAAACAGCGTGGCTGCTGTGTGAAGTATTTAAGAGAGTAGTGAAAGGCTAGAGCTCGACTGGGGAATAATAGGGAAGCTGTCTAGAAGGCCAGCATTGGAGAGTAATGGGGAATAAAAACAAGAACGTTACCTCATGCTGACTTGGCAGCCTCATTTGTTAATACCATGGGTACTGATATATACCATAATGGATACCACAATAGTAACTTCATGTTCAATACTATATGAAATACCTGACATAAATACATGATATAAAGCTTTCAGCATATAAATTTACCCCTGTTCCCCTTTCCATCTGACTAAATAAGAATCAAATTAGTGGGTCTCTTATTATCCTCCCATATAATGTTACTTACAGACTCTATGCTTATATGGAAAAAAAATATTTCCTAATAAGAATCATAGTCTGAAGTATTAAGTGTCTATGTTGTGCTAGTCATAATTCTCACAATATTAATGTAGAAAGATCCATTAAAATATATGCACTGCACCTTCACGGAAAAATGTTAGGTTACAAAGAAAATAAATAAATAAAACATTGATTAAAAGATGCTCTACTTGCAAAATTTCTGAGTGTTAAGAGCTAAAAGGAATGGAGGAGAATTATTGGAAGTAGAACCACAGACACCTTTAAAGAGAGTCATAGCTCATTTGTGTCAAAATGAGAACCCACATTCATCTTTGGAAAGAGAGACACACACAGAATAGTCTTAACCTGGAAAAAAGTTATAGATTGAGGGCGCATGCCTTCCTCTTTCAAAGTAAGGAATAAACACAATCAAAAATATATCTATTTTGAGATATATATATATATAATAGTTTGAAATACTATTTTGCCAATAAACAACTTTCCCTTTGATCAGAGTGTATCTACTTTTCATTTTAAACTATTAACATCTAAAGAATTGTTTTTTTCATTACAAAAGACACTTTTTTTTTTAACTTTTCAAGTTTTCTTAATGTGAGCTAACCAATGTACAAGCTGCAAAAAGCTATTTACCTCACTTAAAATAGAACTTCCCACACTATCCTTACCAGAGAGACTGCACTTCTCTATCATTAACACTGGCAAGTTGTAAGATTGATTCTTTGATACTAGTTTTTAAGGGCACTTGACAGTGCCTCAGAAATGCTCATTATTGTCCCATGCACATTCACTCTAGAGTAGCCAAAAATAAAATTGCTAATTTCCTTTTCAGCTTAGTTAATGGACAATGGTAAACAGTGAAGGAAATAAGCTAGATAAGTAAGAAACCTGTTCTTAATGGACAGCAACAGGACTTTGTGTGCATAGAAAGAAATATACAGGAACCACTGAGGTTGCCCCTAAAGTGTGGCCATCAAGAGTTTGTAGAGAACCTTCTCTCACACTCAGCCACCCCTTTAATTAAGGGCATGGATTTCTAAAGGGTGAAGTCTATTTTAGCCATTCTTTCAGACTAGGATTTAGTATTAAAGGTCAGTTTTCAGGGCAAAGATAAAAAGTTTTATTTGTTTGAAATAAATTACAAACATCTTCTAAAGCCCAAGCAGTCAATATATTCTAGAATTGTAAAACACCAACAAGATTTTTAAATCCTCAAAAATGGGATTTCCTTATCTTTTTCTACTGAATAATTATAAATGAAAATACTTTAGATTTCTAAAGTGCTTTATAGTTCATGAAAACACTTTCACAATAATTTATCAACAGAAGTGAGATCACATGGTCCCTAAAATTCCATGGAGCAGGCAGAGGCATACATAGAACTGGAAGTGGTTTAAATGCCACTAAAGAAGCTGGCACCACGTCCCCTGCAGTGTTAGGTGATGTTAAGTGTGAACCAAACCCAGATAAAAGCTTCAAACTGAAACTGTAAGATACAGCAATAAAGTTAAGTCTTCAAGTTCAATTCTTACAAGCTCATTTATAAAAAGTGAATGGATTTGCCAATGGATAACATTTTCTGGAGACAAAGGCAAATAATATCTGATGGAGAAACTAATTTTGAATGAAGTCCTTTTGCAGCCATCCCTCTAAAATATGAACCATATCAGGAATTCCCTGGTGGTCCAGTGGTTAGGACTTGGCGCTTTCACTGCCGGGTCCCGGGTTCAATCCCTGGTCGGGAAACTAACAACATCCTGCAAGCCATGCAGTGCAGCCAAAAAAATTTTTTTTAATAAATATAACAAAAAAATGTGAACCATATCAAGCTTTGTTTGAGTCTTTATAAACTAAAAGGATAGAAAATATTATCTATCTGTTATAACAGTTAAAGAACCACCTTTGATCCACTTTGTCCCTGAAAAGGATTTTGAGAATTGAATTTTTTGTTATTTATATTTCCAGGAGGTAGACTGTTGGCTCAGAATGTGCTGATTGTGGAGTTGTCGTAGAAAATAAATATTCTCAGTGTGTGTGTGTTAGTTGCTCAATTGATGTGTCACCATATCTAGTATTACTGCCATAACTTTGAATGAGGAAGTGAATCAAATTCAACACAAGTTTTCAGATTTCTTTGGAATTTTCTTTCATTTATTAGAACTTTCTCTTTCCAGTATCTTTTTGGTCCTTCTTGCATCATCCCCAAGAGTATCAATGGTAACTTTTTTACTTTACATTTGATATAATTTCAAACTGAAGGGAAGTTTCAAGAATAGTACAAGATGTACTCATACAGCTAGATTTACCAGTTGGTTCAGCAGTGATTTAACTTTAGTGTGTTAATTAGAAAAGGAGCTCAAGAGAGTAACCAGGTATTTACTTTCTCTATGGACTATTTTATCTAATTCCAGGGAAAAAAATTGCTTTTGGAAGTTAGAGAAAAAAAGCTGAATGGATCTCTTACTACTAAAATTGTACGGGGGCCCTGAACTAACCACTACAGTCTTGAACAGGCTTTATGGAGTACTGATTAGCAGTACAGGGACTGTGGGTAGACTTCTTAATGAGCCCACCGTGCTCACTGTGATATCACTAGACTCTGAATCTACTGGGGCACCAACAATAAGCACCCCAGAAATGTCTTTTTGAACTTTGCTTCCAGGACAAGCAGTCAGAAATATGATTTCATATGTTTACCAGTTATAGACTAGGTGAAATTCTTGAGTCTACATAAAAAGCATTTTGTTTTCTATTTTAAGATAAAGTAATTTTTAAATAGCAAAGTTTTAACATTCTAGTTAATCATGCACTTTTAAAAGGTCAGGCACAGATTTTACTCCATGGATATTTAAATAAAAACCAGTAGTTAATAGAAAGAAATTCATTTCTGCAGATATAGTTTTATATCTCTTTATGAAATGTGGGAGAACGAAAAAGTTATGTATTTGAGAACCAATGAGAGAAAGACCTGAGTTATATACAGTGATGTCAGTTGGACATCATTTTCCTAATATAGAATACCTGCAGCTTGTAAAGCTGTTGCACAGCATCACCCATGTCAAAGGTAAAGCTAAAAGAAAGATCCAAAAATAGTCAGCTACCAAAAACGTATGTAGAGAACCCATGTGAAACTACAAGTATGTCTTTATGATTCAACAACAAATTTTAAAAGCAGCAATATTTTTCATTTTATGAGGAAGAAGAATTAACAAGGACAGCAGTATGTGCTTAAGAAATCCTGTTTCAAGTGTATGTACATATATGCAAATCACTGACTAATTGTGGTCAAAATACACCTGTTTTTTCATGTATTATCTTAATAATATGGAACATAATGCACTTCCTAACCAAAAAAATTCATTCTTTCAACATCTCCTTTATAGATAAATATATGTATAAATGGAGGGCAGATTTTGACACTGCCAGCTGCACCAAAGAGAAAGGGACTTTTTCTAGTAGTTATTATTCCATGTGATATCACTGGACTGTGAATATAGCTGGGGTTCCCAGCCACAAGGTGAAATTGGCCCTCAGAGACCATTTCTCCAATTATCAGGAAAAGATCTGTCCAAAGGCATTTAAAAATGAAACCTGACCTACACTTCAACTTTACAGCAATGGCTTGCCTGCTCAAAAACAATGTATGACCTTTAAATCTTAAATTATAAAATAGTTTGTTGAAAGTATAATGTATTTAGCTTTAATCTAATAATGTAAAGAAATGCAATCATTTCCTCACAAAAACCAGAGGAAAAAATAGAAAAAAGGTCCCGTTTTCATTACTTACAAATAAAACTACCAGACACAATAAATGAGAAGCTTTTTCACGAATTCTAATGGAAAATTTGATTTGGCTTTTACTATATATGTAAATAATGTCCTATCCAAAGTTTAAGAGATATAAAGGCGGTCCTAAGTATGAACTTCTAAATCTTCTTTCTCTCTTTTCTCCCTGTTCTTTGTGCATGAAAATACTCTAATATTTATACTGTACTTAGTACATATTTGTTTATTTCCTATATATTTATTTTATGTTTATTATGGGTAAATCAGTAGACAAGCATGGTATAGCAGTGAAAAGGCAGTAAATGTGAGGAGGCCTAGAAAGAATCAAGGATATCTTTAGAAAACTGTATAAGACTAATGAAAATACTAACCCCCAAAATGATTTATTCACCCCACATGAATTTCGATTGGTCTTATGAGGTCTATAAACCATTTGCAAAAATGACTCATTAGTATACCAAATCAAATTTTTGACTAGTAATTGAATTTCATATATATATGTGAGTAGATTTCACTTCACCAATGTGGCTGCCATCTTCTTTGCCTGTAAACTGGGACTAAGAAACAGACCATTTTAGGGAACAACTGTAAGGATCAAATGAGATGCTGTGCATAAACATGCCTTTGGAAATTGTAAGGCACTCTGTAAATAAAGCACGTGGTGACTGTTGGACTGTCTCTGGAATGTCCAAAGAGGATTTGCCACCATTTGGATTTTTAAATGTTAGTGGCAACTTTTCAATGAAATAAATGAATGCACAAATGTTATACTATTTATCTTTAAGTAAAAGCACACACACATACACACACACATACAGCATTGTGCTAGGGATTATGGCTTTAAAGGTGGGTGCACAGAAATAAATTCAGACATGGCAGGATCTACTGAGAAAAGCAGTACTGAATTTAATCACTTATTGTGGGTTATTTAGCAATGAAATGATATATACTAATCATATTAATCGTTACACTTAATGATGCAGTGAAAGCTAGCTAGGCGCTGGTAGGTGGATTTTGAGCCCATTTATAATCTTAATTAGAAATAAACATTTTCAAGAGGAGCAACTAGTGTTGGGATATGTGTTTATTAGAATCTTAGCCTATTTTAATTTAGCAATATTTTCACATTCAGTTTCCCAACCTTGACACTGTCAGTGGTCATCTTCTTGGCCTTGCAATCCAGCAGGATGCTACCAAAAAGGAGGAGTTAATACCCAGAAGATGGTTCTTTCACTTACCAGATTTGTGACCTTGGGCAAGTGTATTAACCACTCTGAACCTCAGTTTCTTCATCCACAAAATGAGGCTTATGGGGCCTTATTCAGGGGATTAGTGTCAGAATTAAGTGAGATATTGATTAAAAATATAGAGAGATTCTTCTAAATTAAAATAAATCCAAACCATGAACCTTAGGTGGATACTAGTTCAAAGGTGGGGGTGGGGGGGGAAGGCTATAAAGACATTTGTAGGTCCATCCTGAAATTTTTAATATGAACTCAATTTTAGATGTTGTAAAGATACTGTGGTTACAAAGTAATCTTATTGTCAGTCTAAACTTGTAGAAGTACTTACAGGTAAAGTATCATGATGCATGCATCTTAGTTTCAAATGGTTGCGAGAAGGGGGAATGTATGTACATCTACAGAGATTGAGAAATGGGGCAGGGGAGGTAAAGCAAATTGGAAAAATGTTAATTGTTGAATCTGGGTGGAGAGTATACGTGGTTCATTTTACCATTTGTTTAACTTTGGGATATTTGAAAATTTTCTAGATAAATGTTGAGCGGAAACAAAAGAATTCAGTGAGGTAATGTCACTAAAGCATATGGCTCCTATTAGAAACAGCTAATGCCAGTGGATATTTTGACTGTCAATATAGGTTGATTACCATCTTGTTACACTGGCTGCTGTCAGTGTGAAGAGCTCCCTGCACACAGCAGGTAAGCAGTGAGCACTTGCTGAAAAGAAAAGAAATTAACATAAAGAACCGAAACCCTCTAAAAAAGGATGTCTTGAATCCATCAGGGTCACAAGCTGAGAGGAGGTGAGGTTCCCCTTTCTTGGGGACACCAAGCACCTAAAGAGGTTAGGCTTTTAAACCTAACTACCTGGATTCATATCTGTGATGGGAGCAGCAGGGTCACATTGGATAAGTTATTTAACTCCATGCCTCCATTCTTTGAACTGTAAAATGCAACATAAAAATACTGTTGTTCCTATCTCATAATATCATTGTGAGGATTAAATAAGACAGTGCACTTTAAATGGTGCCTTGCGTACCCAAATATTAGCTGTTATAATTATGTAGATAATAACTTCCTATTCCGTGTTCCATGATATGAGAGGTCCTGCCAATATTTATTCAGGATTGCTTCTTCATCAATTAAACCAAATCTAAGGTGTTACACTTAGAACTTTCCTTAATTTTGTTCTGCCCATAATTTTCACTAAACAATCCCAAGTTACCTATTCTTGCTTTGGCTCCCTTTACGGAGAATTCTGATAAAAGCAATGAACTTTCCATATGACAAGTTTCTATTTCATTCTCAAATATCAGCAGGTTTTCTTGTATTAGTATAAATCTGATGTTTTATAATATAAAAGCTACTAATTCAGTTAGTGTAAATTGAATTAAATGTTTCAGGAATCTCTTTAGATCCTGTGATACCTGTATTACATGTGTCCTCAAATAAATTAAAAATGGGATTGTTGATGTCAGTGTTCCAGATTCTAAGAGAAATAGCATTATGTTTTAGGGCTTTGTGGGCTTCACTCTATACACAAATTTTTAGCTTGGGCATTCTCTGAAAGTTGCCACTCCTGTGTCGTTATCTTAAGGATAATTAAAAAGTTATAGTACTTTGCTTTTACTTAAAGATAAATAGTATAACATTTGTGCATTCATTTATTTCATTGAAAAGTTGCCACTAACATTTAAAAATCCAAATGGTGGCAAATCCTCTTTGGACATTCCAGAGACAGTCCAACAGTCACCACGTGCTTTATTTACAGAGTGCCTTACAATTTCCAAAGGCATGTTTATGCACAGCATCTCATTTGATCCTTACAGTTGTTCCCTAAGATGGTCTGTTTCTTAGTCCCAGTTTACAGGCAAAGAAGATGGCAGCCACAGTGGTGAAGTGAAATCTACTCAAAGTCATATGGAAATTATAGGTGCTTATGCCTTACAGACACATACCCACTCTGGCCATTTTTCTACATCCCTTCTCTGACTTCCTGTTTCCTCATCTGTGTAGGGCTACCTGGGCTTTCAGTTTCATCTTCTTGCTTTTCCTGAGAGACTCAACACCATTTTTGCTTGGTTGACCATCCCACTCTGGACTCTGAGTCATCTATCAGGCAGCACCTAACAGTATTCACTCAGAACCCAAAATACAACATCAAGACATGAGGAGAGCAAGAGTCCTGGATACCTATAACCAGTCAAATAAAAGCAAGACACAAAACCCAGAGTAAACTGACAATGTGAGTTCCTTTTACTAAAGTACAGTGTATCAAAAGGAATTCTTCTGGTCCATTCGGACTGTGGAAAAGTTACTTGTCCTCTCTTAGCTTCAGATTCCTCACTAAAGAATGTTACTGTTACCCGTGGCCTTCAAGATTATGCTGACTATGAAAGAATACATGGGGAAGTATCTAACAGGACTCAGTCCTTAGCAACACCTTGATAAATATTTACAGTAGAGTTGGACTAAGCCTTATGGATGAAGAAATGCATAAATTTTAAATATGATTTACAACAGAGAACAGAAAATATATAACTCAATATTATAAATTAGATATCTTGATGTTAATTAAATACACAACTGTTTACATACTACAGTCTATTATCTAAAGAGGCATTTAAGATCATTCTACTAGAATTATCTTACCCTGAATTACAGCTGAATAAATCTCACAAAATATCTAATGTATCAGTAGTTTGGGTAGTTGGCTAGCACACTACGTGTGCTAATTTAGCAGAAAAACTGAACTTCTAAATTTTATGAAGCAATGAGTGTATGGTAACACATGTCATGAGGCTCTACCAGAAAGAGAAGGAAGCAGGTAATGTTCTTGAGAAAATTTGAGAAGGCAGATTGGGTCAGGTTTGGGTGGGACATGTGAGCAGTGAACAGCCTGACCAGGAGTATAAAGGTTCTAAGAAAGATGGTGTAATACAGACCTTCATAACCTTGAGCCATGGATACTCAACATATTTGGAAGTCCTGGGGCTGATTCTCCATAGCTTTCTCCAAAGTGAATTTCTGTTTTGAATACTGGGATAGCCCTTCTCTCCAAGAAGATAACTCTCCTAAAGCCTTATATTACTCGGGAAATAAATTGTGAAGGGTATACTCACCAGTTGATTCTGGTAGGCAGTGACCGCCGTAAAAACTGTTTCTGGAAAGATGAATGTTCTGAATTCTTCAGACTTCAGATTAAGTAATGAGGCTGTGTGGTCTTTCTTCTTAATGATGTGCACCCGTGGCTGGTACTTATGCATTGAGTTCAAAATTATCTGCAGCAAAGAGTGGGAAGTACAGTACTGGATTTTAAGTACTTATAGTGCTAATAAACAGGCCAAATTACAATGAGGCAAAGAAAGAACCATAAAATCTACTGTGTCAAATGCAGTTTTAAGATTAGGATCTACCCTTTCCATTCTTCACGCAAATAATTTTCACATGATACTGCAGAGTATTGTGAATCACGTTTTACCAAACCAACTGTAAATAATACAGGTTGTTTCAAGTGTCCTTTCTAAAATGATAGAGGAAAAAGTCATCTGGAGGATGTTTATTTTTTAAAAAATGCTTTTTGTTTTTTAGTCTGGTTAGACCAAAGGCAGTATGTCTCTAAATTTTCTAAAGTAAGAAATTACATATTTGAGGAGGCTAGATTGTTATTTGGGGCAGTGGGGGGTGAGGGGTGGGTGGCAGATGGGACGGAGGGAATGAAACAATTTTAAAAGGCAGTGTGGTATAAGGTAGACCTTGGTTGGAATACTGAATCTGCTACTTTCTAGCTCTTTAATCTTGGGCCAAGTGATCTCACCTCTCTTACCTTATTTTCTTAAATGCAAGAACAGTATTAACTTCACAGGGGTTGTGGTGAGGATCAGACGCTGTAACCCTTGTAAATCACATAGCAAATAGGAAGTGCTTAGTAAACTGTATTATTATTGTCGTCGTCATCATTTTTGACAACTTCATTGATTACTGACTTCCAGTTACAAACTAAATAAGAATGTTAGTGATGGATGTCTTCCATTCCATAGCTGCTAAAAGTTGTCTGGTACTTAGAGATCAGAAATATACCCTGTTAACAAGGCAGTATTTTTCATGTATCATTTAAATAAAATATAATAATTTACCATTATGAAATTTGAGCAACAAAACTTACTTTCAGATGTTAAAGATTTTCCACATCTCCCCCTGCGCCGCAACCCAGACAGCTACCTAAATCTACAAAATTGAGTATGTCTTTCCTGGGATAACAGGGCTTACAATGTATGCCCTTCACCCCAAGGGCCTAGCAGAGAGCTTGGCTCTCAGGGGAGGTGTCTGATACATGCTGTGGCAGGACGAGGGTCAATGGCATGCAGTGTTGTTGCTCTCTTGTTCTTTGGCTAACTTGGGTGTGGTGGGTGAGTGTTAACACTGGTTGACTTTAGAAGAGTTAAATACTAGTCACTGTGAGATAACCGATACAGAATCAATCTGTTTCCATGCTGAGATATAAGCCAACAAAGTTACAGGGCATTAACTGGCATTGAATTTTTGAACATGCCATCTTTTTATGATCCCAGACCTGAATAGGAATTACTGAAACAAATGAGACGTTCAAATGAATCAAAAGAAACTTAAAAAAAAGTTATTTCTTTGTGTAATGCATTTATTCCAAGGAGTTCAAGATACCTATGCTCAGTCATAAAACTGGAATAAACTTGAAGTGACAGAAGTAAACCATTTGCCTCCTAATCCTGATATAAGAAAAACCTGACCATTCATTATATGTTCTACTAAGAAGATAGAGTTTTCAAATCATACACACACACACACACACACACACTCACACACACACAATGGAAAAAAACCTAAGCTTTAAATAAGGTCCCCTCTTCCTCATACCACTCCCACATTAATTTCCTTTAGGAAAGGGTGTTGGACAGACTCAGACCGCAGACTGAGTCTCAGATCCCAGGGCTCCTTGAACCTCTGCTCAAGCTTTCATGGGGCTAAGAAACACTGATAAAAATGTAAACGTTGTTTCATCGAAGAAATAAATTCCTGGAAATAAGAAATTTTCCTGGAATGCATCTACAAAGGGGGCTTCTTCAGGACTGATTCAAAGAACTTGGCTAAACACCACAGGATCTAAAAATATTTCCTGGTACTTTTCAGAATACACTATTCCTGGTAACAAAGAGTTATATTAAATAATAAAATTTTAAAGCTAAAATGGATATTAGCAACCATGTAAGACTTAAACAATTTGTCAAGGTCTAATCTTAGCATAATCAGACTAGAACCCAGAGCTCCTGAAATATAGCTTAGTGCTATTCCCATCCATGAAGCTGATGCTAATATTTAGGAAAACATATCAGTTCTGGACAACTGATCTCAAAATGAATTCTCAGGTCTTTCTGGAAAAACTCAAACAGTTCTTACAGAAGTTTCACATTGCAGAATACTAGAACCATAAAAAAATTTCATTTATCTCTGCAAAGATTTCAGTGGAGCCCAAGAAATTTTAATATGAATGACATTAAGAATGATCATGGGCCTACAGAAAATGTCTCTCAGATACTTCATAAATTTTAACCTGAAAAAAAAAAATCTGTCAATGAAAACATCTGAAAGAAAGGACAATTCTGCCAACATCCTTGAAGGTAAAAAAAGTCAGTTATCTTTTCCAATACATCAAGTAACAGAAGCCTGTTAACCTACTTCCAACATCCCAACAGTGCCACCAGCAGAGTTGTTAGTTAACCTGGTTACTCTGACTTAGTCGAGATAAACAAGATCTCCTGTGGGCATATGGATGGTGGCAGTGCCTGAAGTGATTTACTTGGTTCCAGGTTCAATCAACCATTTGAAACCATGTCTAGAGCTCTCTCTTAACTATGTGTAACCGTCTTTTTTGAGAAAAGTTTTGAAACTCTTTTTCTGAATTGCATAAATCCAGTAAAAACTAAAACCTTAAGTAACAGGAGCCTTAATAAAGGGGATAAGAGAGAGAATAATGATATCAGAATATCTAAGCCAAGGAAAGCAACTATGAAAATCCCAGTGTGCTTTCTGGCAAACGAGGCAAAAAAAGAAACAGTATTCTCCTCATCAAAAAGAAGCATGCATGTCTGTCTAAAGTTTTCTTAGCATAAAATCTAAAACAGATTTTTTAAAATGTGAATCTTTATTTAAGAGTATGAAATAACAGCATAGACAGTTCCTTAAAAAGCAGTCTTAGCAAATACGGAAAAGCCTGTGTCAATGGCTATTGTTCTATTAACTGTTGATAAGAGCTAAGAGTTCCAATTTCTCTTTTCTTCAACATTTTAATGAACTCCTTACTGATGTAAAATCAAATTGTTTTGTTTTTAACTGCAAGACTTCATTGTGTTTTAATATTCATAAGGCTCTCTACAGAGGGGATATATAATGAGCTAACAGCACTTTCCCACATTTATTTGTACATAAAATCCTTTTGCCCCATTGCATCGCACAAGAATGTATTCTATACAACACACTTTGGGAAACCCCCATAGGAGGTCTCAGCCCCATTCCCTTTATGCTGTGTTATCTGACATACCACTGATAGAAATTAGATGTTTAATCCAAGAATGGGCTGTAGTAACCTCCAAAATGCACATTCCCTTTGTTTAGTTGGTGCAGGTGTTAAAGCAGTTGCAGAAGTAGGAATCCATGGTGCCAGAGGTCCCTGACCTTCTTGCATAGAAATGGCATACAGCATCTCTGTAAATGACCTCTTGACAATAGCAGTCAAGGTTCCCTGTAGAACATATTAATGTTCTCATAGAATGACTCAGAGCTGGAGGGTGGGAGGGGGAAAGGGAGAGAGGAAGAGACATCAAGGGAGGAAGCTTTATGTGATTTCTCCATTCCATCCCAGGGAATCCGCATAGTCCAAGCACTGTACTCACATGGCCATGTTGATCCAGTTCATTGTTGGTGAGTTTCACCTTTTCAAAAGACACCATCTGTTTAAGTAGCTGCTCACCAGTAAAAGGAGAGTCTGGATGTACATACAGCCTAAGAAAATTATGAGAGAATTTTATTGAGACTTTAAAAAAAAAATCTCTTTGGGTTATAAAATATTCTGATTCTAAAGGAACACAAAAATCTCATATAAAGTGAATTTTATTTGCCTCGTATAATCTCAAATTTAGTAATACAGCAATAGCAAAATAATGCTGAAACATCTAAATGTGTTTCTTTGTGTACCAATGATTTAAAAGGGGTAATACTAATGGTAGTATATATATGTCAATCCTAATCTCCCAATTTGTCCCACAGGAAGCTCAGCTCAGTGCTGAGATGACCTAGATGGGTGGGATGGGGACAGGTGGGAGGGAGGTCCAAGAGGGAGGGGATATATGTATACATATAGCTGATGCCCTTCATTGTACAGCAGAAGCTAACGCAACATTATAAAGCAATTATAGTCCAATTATAAATAAATAAATAAATAAAATGTACTTAATACATTTGCTGCTATTTGCTGAACAAGCCATTTTTTTAAAGGTGGGTTTTTCCCATCAACCTAATCAACTACTAGTCTGCTTCTGTCAAATATAAAATCCTATTGTTGTAGATATTTTCAAAAGAAAGACTAGGTTATAACTAATTGCAAAATGAATTCCTAGTATAAGCACTGCTAAAAAGCAATGAAGACAAAGAATTTAAAAGAGGAAACAATTCTAGAGAATCTATTCATTTAAACTTGAAGGTGATTCAATTTAAAGTTCATGTTCTTTATAAACAAGACAGAATAATTTTAATACAGTGACCTGGGGAATTTTTAATAGTCCACAGATCACATAGTCTGTTTGCTTCTCCCGGTACTTTAAATATTACTACTTTCATCATCACCTAGTTAAGTGCTCACTAAGGAGAGTGAAAACAAGTTGGGTAAGCTTCAAATTATTCAATGTATTTATCTAACAGCCTAAGCAAAAAAAAAAAAAAAAAAAA